AAGCATATATAAATAATGTCATCTACATTAAAGTACTAATTTGTTTATTTGTTTGTTTTTAAAATATATAGTTTGGTTACCTGATAGTATTAAACAGGTCTACATATCACTCTTTCTTACACTGATATTTCTTGTGCTCTTTCGCGGTATTCGTTTAACAATCCAAGCCAGAAGAAAACTTTCTTTAAACAGTACACTGTCACGATATACGAAGGAAAACGACTTTAAGGGGTAAATTATTGGCAACGTTCATATTAACTGTGAAAGAAGGAATACACCATCATGATATACGAAGGAAAACGACTTTAAGGGTTAAATTATTGGTAATGTATATATTAACTGTGAAAGAATGATTTTATCTTCATAAAAGCATTACTAGTTGAAAGATTAATAAGTAATATGATGCATCGGAGTAATAGTTTTTTCTACAGAAATGTTCTAACGAATGAACTCGATTGCAATTTTTCTGAGATTTATTTGGGAAATATTTTTGTAGTACAATGAATAATAAGGAATAACTTAGTAATTGTAGAAGCTAAAAACACATGTATTTCAGAGTAAATTATATAAAACGGTGTTCAGCTCTAAAAGCACAGAGAAACCACAAAAGAACAAAGTTCCATAGAATCTGATAAAATCCGTGCTAATAAACAGAAAGTGTGAAACGATATATATCTTTGAAACATAACAGCGAGAGCCAGGGTTGCTTCTAATAGCTTCAGAATTATACTTGTGACAGCACGTGATGTTTGTTTTTTTTTTTCTCTCGACGGTCTCAATGATTTTGTCACCTAATATAGCAAGCATGACTTTACAGATTTATTTCAAAAACAGTTCAGTTATTCAGGATGTCTGATTTCATTATCTTCTAAATTTTGGAAGTGGAAGCAGCTGTTGATATCAATAGAAACTTCTGTAAACAGTCTGTTGTTTGTTGAAGATGTGAAAACATTTATCCACGAAAAGTGATTTCCTACACTAAATATAAACAAAATTTTGAAACCAATTTCGAGAAAGACGAGTTTTAGTAATGCGTTTAGTTTAACGTTAGAAAGTTTTAAAATTGCCGTAAGAGAAAAAACTAAAATATGTTACAACTTTATTTACTGGATAAATGTATTGGTGTTCATCCGTTATTAATCAAGCAAAACATTTTCTTATAAATGAACAATACATGATTGTCTTTTCCCACAAAAGACTATCAGTTCTGAAGCATATGCTAACAATAATTATGACGTTTCTGTGCTAAATGTATGGACAAAATTAAAGAAAAAGCTGTTTCTAGCTCGATAAAAAACTCTGTCCCAGAGAGTTTGTATAAAAAAAGCAACAGTGACAAACGTATAAGATCCTGTATTCCACCATAAAGCTTCCTAAAATCGACCATTGGCTGGAAGATACGTCACTGCCTTTTTTTATTAATTAAGAGGCTTTGCATTTTAATGGCTTTTGTATCAAATTAAGGAATCCACATTTTCTAAAGTGTCTTGACAATTGAACAAAATGAAACAATTTTTTTACTGTTTTTAAAAAGAGATGTATGGTTAAATCTACCTAGCTTTTGTAGTGAGGCTTAGCAGTCGGAACTTACGTTACTTTGTGGTGCTGTAAATTGTAGTATGAAATATATCTGTTTATATTAGTAAACGTATCTATTCCATACTGTAGTATTTATTATTGAAACAGCTTTATACTAACAATGGTTCTAATGCACAAAACTGATGACTCCAAATGTATTAATATTACATCTCCAAAATGCATTTTGTGTGAATATGTTTTGAAGTATACATATATGTATGTATATATAGGTATGATAAATGTGATTTTTTTCTTAGAAATGTTCGTGCAATTGCTATTATATGTTACCAACAAGAGAAATAAATCTTAATTGAGGCCCTTTAGGCCACAACTGAATTTGTCTTTATCCAGAACAAATAATGATGCCCTTCGACCGCTTTGAATTAAAATTGTCTGAAGGGTATTTCTAAAATCCAGATTGTTCAGGCAGTCGTTTAGTCATGATCTCTGGAACCTGCTTATCGATTCTTTTTTAATGATTCGGTCAATAAAGTTATATTTCTAAATGTTTGGTTTCTTTTTTTTTTAAGACACTTGAGGTATATAATTAAACATTGGTCTTTGGCTTCATAACTTAACAATGAAAATGGTTACACATTTATTTCAATAATAAGTAACTGTATTAAAAAGAAGTTTAGTTTTCGTGCTGTGCTGTAACAGTTGAGGAGGATTGTAAGTTTAGTTTTCGTGCTGTGCTGTAACAGTTTAGGTGGATCGTAAGTTTAGTTTTCGTGCTGTAACAATTTAGGAGGATTGTAATTTTAGTTTTTGTGCCGTAACAGTTTAGGAGTTACAGCACGAAAACTAAACTTACAATCCACCTAAACTGTTACAGCACGAAAACTAAACTTACAATCCAGTTTAGGAGGATTGGAAGTTTAGTTCTTCTATATTCGTGGGTAACCTTACCATTTGTTTTCTACAACGTCTATGGCTAATTAAGCTGTTCTTTTGACTTAGAAATATTGACCATTAAACGGTATTTTACTGAAATTATCAATATGTTTTACTTGTATATCAATTATAAATAATATGTTGACCATTAAACGGTATTTTACTGAAATTATCAATATGTTTTACTTGTATATCAATTATAAATAATATGTTGACCATTAAACGGTATTTTACTGAAATTATCAATATGTTTTACTTGTATATCAATTATAAATAATATGTTGACCATTAAACGGTATTTTACTGAAATTATCAATATGTATTATTTGAATATCAAATATAAATAATAAGCATAAACCTTCGAACGTATTTCTGTTCTTCCCTCAATTACTAGAAGAATGATATTAATTTAATTCCATTACTTTACTTAAAAGGCATGAGTGTTAAGATATTTTTAATTAACTTTCAAACTGAGTGTTTCTCTTTAGCCTCTGCTAACTCTACTATCGGCAGAGAACAAATGACTCAGTCAACAATGTTTTGTATAAATGCTGAGGAAAAATTAACTGCATTCATACTTTCTTCTTCAAGAAACACAATACCTATGACAAAAATTACGTAACATATACAAAGATCGATGGTTGAACACTACGATTTAACGATATCTCTGTGATATCTAAAATACCTAATAACCTTTCGTGAAAACTTACTAGGATGATTATTTTTTATGAGTTAATACATTAGCTATGGTTGAATATAGAAACAGTGAAGTATCAACATTTGAAAAAAACCTCACGGTTAACACACTCCCCCCCCCCTTTCTTGTTTAACGACTCGTAAAATGTCAACTATTGTAAAGAGAAAAAATGATTAAGCTCGAAGTAATAAAATAAATGATGTATTCTCGTAACCAAAACAAAAATCTTTCTTATCGCAAACAATTTTTGATGTCTTAGGAAGCTGTTTTAGACTTGCACTGTAGGTTCCGAAGAAATTATTAGTTAATTTTAAAATTCCATATTAGTTAACCCCAAGAATCCGGCTTAAAATATAGTTTGACTGAATATAACGATATAAAAGAAGATCAATAGTGTAGAGTATATTATTATCAACCATCTAACGCAAAATCCAATAGATCTAATTGTCTTGGGTGAAATAGATATTCTGAGATTTTCATAGAGACACACTATCTGAACAATGTAGTTTATGTAACTGATCTACGTCTGAGGTTGAACATGCCTCATAGTTACCAGATCTATTGATTCTGCATTTATTTGAGCCTTTGTTCGATTAGATCGTATATATATATATATTTAGTACATAAATCAGCCTTCTAGATCAGGTTATTACAATATTGAATCATTGCTTTTATGTAACAATTTGCCATTTTATTTGCAATAAACTACAATAGACTTAACATTTATAAAATTAGTATTACTAGCATTACATTCTCAAAATCATTCGTTAAATGTTTTTGTTTTGTTAAGAGTTGATTCCTGACAGTTGTTCAATATTATATTTTATCAAGAAATAACGTTTTACATTGTTAAATAGTATCAAAATATGTATGAGAATTTCAGATAAGGTTTAAATTGCTTACTTATCCTGCAACAATAAGGGAAATATAACAATTATAGAAAACATATGTTACATAGAAATCCACTCCCCGAATATTATCGTACGAGTTTGAATTATGGCGCAGGTAATGATCGTTCATCACACAAATTGTGAAAATTAAAAAATGAACGACTTTTACCAATTTATTATATATATATCTAGATTTATTATTTCATGACAAAAAACTTCGTTAATTGTCATTTTATTTTTTTAAGACAGTGATTAATACAATAAGAGGATCTTTACGATGACCGAAAGTCAAATCAATTCAAAAACAGTCACATAACAGTAAGACTAAGTCCAATAAATGTGCATACCATTAAATTTCTTAGGAAAACATCTTAGTGCAAATATCTGATTTTGTTATTTGGTTGAGACTGAGACCCGATTATTTAATGAAGATATCAAAAATATTTCCTGAACCGTTCTGTAGAGATATATATATTATTTTTATAGTATTTTTACAAAAAAGGAGAAAGCAGAGAGTGATGAAATATTCATGGACTTGAACTCTTAAGATCACCTTATAATCAGCCATGGACAAAGCAGAGAGTGATGAAGTATTCATGGACTTTATTTAACTCTTAAAATCATCTTATAATCAGCCATGGACAAAGCAGAGAGTGATGAAGTATTCATGGACTTTATTTAACTCTTAAAATCATCTTATAATCAGCCATGGACAAAGCAGAGAGTGATGAAGTATTCATGGACTTTATTTAACTCTTAAGATCATCTTATAATCAGCCATGGACAAAGCAGAGAGTGATGAAGTATTCATGGACTTTATTTAACTCTTAAGATCATCTTATAATCAGCCATGGACAAAGCAGAGAGTGATGAAGTATTCATGGACTTTATTTAACTCTTAAGATCATCTTATAATCAGCCATGGACAAAGCAGTCAGTGATGAAATATTCATGGACTTTATTGAACTCTAAGATCGTCTTATAATCAGTCGTAAAACAAATACAAAAACAGTGAATACCCAGAGATTGGAGTTAACCACGAAACAAGATCTTTGTAGTGAAAGTTATCTTTTCTTCCATAAATATTATATAAGCTCTTGTGGTACACCTCGACGACCTGTAACGAACGTACAAGGAAAAGCAGAAGCAAGTCTAGTATTTGTACGTAAATGATTACAAAACATTTCAACAAAGATCATAAGCATGTAATTCAGCGTAGCAACATTATATTTGTATGATTCTATTCTCTTGATCATTCTGTAATTGTATATGAATTAAAATTCATCTCAGATTTCCCTCTCGCATTTTTCGTTCTTCTTCTCCTAAAATAGAAACAAACAAATATCGTGACTAGATTGTTTTTTTTTTGTTACTAAGCCTTATATTACTCGGACAGTACGACATTATACGAAGCAAATAAATCAAAATAATGTGATAACGTTCCGTTATTACATGTTGATTGAAACTGTAAATGTTACTTCTATCCAAAAGGTATTGTTTTTTCAAGTAAACAGCGATCTCTTTGGATAAAAGGATCTTACTGTGCATAAATAATGAAAGACACTAGCGTCTAGAATTTATCGTAACAACTTGAATTCTTTTTTTTTTACTCTCTTTGCATTTGTCAAATATTTTTCACGTTCTAGTTGTTGTTTTTTTTTTATTGATTCAAAACGCATTTAATCAGACACTGGTAACTATGGAATGTTAGTTTAGTTGTAGGATTCCTCAAGCTTACCGCTAAGGGGCTTAAGTAAAATAAAACCCAATTCGAATAATGTATTATTTCATCTTTTTTTATTAGAATTGTTTATGATGTTTATTTTTTTATGTAAAGAAATAAAACTAATTTGTTCTATTTTTCTCCAACCGTAAGATATTTTAAGTTAATTGGTTGGCTCTTGACGTCTATACGTTTTGACGTTTACAGAGCCTTCAGCCTATAGTATCAAGTATATTGTCTAGATGGTAGAAGCTTAGAAAGTTTGTTTTTCTCATACCTTATGGCAAGGATAAAATAAAGCCACTAAAAACACAGCACAGGTTCCTCTAGTATCAAATCTTTAGTTGCAGGACTGAATAAATACACACTTACAATATTCTAATTAATACGACGTAGATTTCACAGATAGACTTTCTCCTATTGGATCGCCACACAATATACGTTATCATTTTGAAGAATGTTTAGTAATACAGATTACAGTTTTACGAACTGTACGCAGGTAGGAGGGTAAGTAATGGATAGATAGAATGATTTTGCTATTTGTACAACGTACCACATAAAATTTTCTTAGAACGATATACTAACGTGCACTAGCTTTCTCTCTCTCTCTCTCTCATTTCTAACGTGTAAATGTTGGCACATTTGTCAGCCTGCTTCATTGTATCCTCTGTAATACATGCTCGCCATCTGATAGGTGTTGAGTCCAATAAAAATCAACTGTAGAGACAAAGTAACAAGGGATTTCACAGGATTTAGGAACTTCTGTGAAGAACCTCTTACTGTCTGATGCATTTATCTACGTTTCTGGCATACCATGCCCGCGAGGGAAAAATAACATATATCACAAACTATAATGAAACTTTCTTCAGACTGAAGCCTATCGGTGATTTCAGGATTTTTACTACTCTCTCATTTGAAATATGAAACTCAAATTCCATACAAGACATACAAATAAATCTGTAAAAATAAAAAAAAGATAAGGGCACTACTTCACTCAAAAATATTTAAAAACAAAAACTTGAGGTACTTTCAAAAATTTTCTTTTTCTAAGAAATACAGATTAAAGTTAAATGGGAAACAAAAACGTTATACGATAAGACAGAAAAAAAAGGAGAATACAATAATTAAAAATTCTATGTTTCACTTCAGGAAGCCAAGTCATTACAAAATGCTACATTTATTGTAAAAATGTCATTGGTTATTTGATCCAAAAAACTCGAACAATGAACAAAACTGTAGAATACTTACTACATTAATCCTGAAATTTAAAAAAAAAGTAGTATATTACTCATGTTATAGACATTACGTTCATGCAAGAATACGTTTTAGAAGACATTCAGTTTTCGAATTGTCTAGCAGTTCCCATTACAGTGTTTTTAGTAAAAAATTGCTTTTGGTATTCAAAGATATTTTTGAAAATATCTTGAAAAATTCTTACCTTTTTGCTTCACAGCAGCAAGTTAAGGACTAATAAACATGTAGCCAAAAGGGTCACATTCACGTATACAGGAACATTATGGCCGTCAGTAGCAGCTTGAAATATAATACATTGTAATTTATTTTACTATTTTCTTGTTATTTCTTATGTATTAAAATACATGGTTGAGAACGTTATATTAAATCGCTTTTGCCTTCGCAAGTTACCAAATAACGTGATAACTTCAGCCAATATAAAGTCGCGGAGGATAACATGTATCAGAACTATATTTTGACATTATTTGGATTTACGTAGGTAGTGTTATGCCACCGAAAATTGATCGTTTTTGGAAAAGGTATGTGACAGCTCTCTCCGATGCAAAATATTTATATACTCAGGTCATAAAGATGTGTTCAAACTGGAGATTTAGATTTTCCAAGACGGGGATATTCCTTGTACTTAATGGAGGTAAATTGGAAAAGAAAGGAATATGGGTTATCTTGGGACACCTGGATCATCTAGAAAAAAACATGCAACAAGTCGTACCAAAGCCATGGTAAGCATAGTTTGGCGTCTTTTAACGGTTGGAAATACACAAATATACAGGCCAGTGGCAACAGTGCATAAAATTATCAAGAACGATCTCCGTTTGGAAACGAGGCCAACATGTCAAAATAAGGCTTCCAATCATATTTCTTGTTCAACTGTTCAATACATCAAGTAGCTGGAGAATAAAACTAGTATTCATGCTTTTGAGAATGTGAAGAAATATCTAAAAAGTCGTCAGACACAGAACCTATGGATTTCTGTGTGATTGGACTGTTGAACCAGGCGGTGGGAATCCTTCGTCCTCATACATAAAATATTCTATGGAAAGCAAGCATGTAAAAGTGGTGTTCTTTGTACATGATAGCCTTACGATCTCGTCTTTTCCAATAAAAACTACGCTGCAGGGATATTGTCAAGATATGGGTCGTCAGATAGAGCGTGACTGGACATAGCGACATGGACCGAAACGACACGATGAGGCTTCAAAACTGTTTTAATATAACATACTAAACCATTTGAATATAGTTTCAAAGCTTTTCTTTGTGTGCATCTGTGTTCGGATTTGGAAAATAAAACAAGATAAGTCATTATTAGGAACAATGTAACCCTAACTTTTAAAAGGAAATATTTAAAAGTCAACATTACTATTGTATATCTTAATTTTATACATAGCATATGGATAAGTAGGTGGATAAGTTAATACATACTTATTACGTGAAGTAGAAATGTGAGTATTAGCTAAGGTACTTAATACGTACATACATAGCATATGGGTAAGTAGGTGGATAAGTTAATACGTACTTATTACGTGAAGTAGAAATGTGATTATTAGCTAAGATGCTTAATACGTACATACATAGCATATGGGTAAGTAGGTGGATAAGTTAATACATACTTATTACGTGAAGTAGAAATGTGAGTATTAGCTAAGGTACTGCATACTGTTTGTAAGTGCTTCTCAACGTTTGTCATTGTGATTAAATATAATAACAATAGTGATAAGTTATACCTTCATATCTTTCAATCGTTAAATAAAACATATATACCTATTGAATGACAGCTTAATTTAAGCATCTATTTTTTTTAATGATACGCATTAAGTATTTTAGCTAATGATCACATTTCTATTTCACGCAATAAGTATGTATTAACTTATCCACCTACTTACTCATATGCTATGTATGTACGTATTAAGTATCTTAGCTAATAACCACATTTCTACTTCACGTAATAAGTATGTATTAACTTATCCACCTACTTACTCATATGCTATGTATGTACGCATTAAGTATCTTAGCTAATAATCACATTTCTACTTCACGTAATAAGTATGTATTAACTTATCCACCTACTTACCCATATGCTATGTATGCACGTATTAAGGTATCTATAGTTTACCTAATTTTAATTGGCCCTGAAGTGTTACTTTTGTTAGTCTTGCTTGCTTTAAAGCATGCTGTAGACCATTAAGCTTTGTCGCATTTGTACAATATAATGACTCCTCTATATTTTCCCGTCACGCAACTCATTATCTATGTATTGATGGTTTATATGAATATTCAGATCCACGCATGTCTTCAATTCCGCTGCGAGATTATGAATATCATGTTTACCTTCAGAGATGTGTTCTAGTAAATAACTAAATGTTGTTCTAGTAGATTTCTACCTAGAACTAATACGTGCTAAACAGAAACAGAATTTAAATAACAAAAACGAAAGCGTATCTTACCAATAATTTCACAGTAATCCTACCTTTTCACATCAACGAGATGGGGGGGGGGGGAGGCTATTTCGATACACGTTAGAAACCAAGTTACGCCCTTGAAATGGTGGGTACGAGTATGGAACGACAACTAGAATACTAACTGCATTCATTAGTTTTCGCCTAGAATAGTTTATTGTTTGCTAAGAAACTAATTTCAAAAAGGAAATCAATAGTTACGTGTCAGATTAAACTGTGAGCAATGAAAAAAAAAAGACATTTGAAAAAATTATACAATTCTGATAACAGAGAAAATTGTCGCCTTGAGTGTAAACATTTGTCAATTTACTACTAGAAGACAACGAATAGTGGAGATGATGTGTAATTATCTTTACCCATCTCAAATTTGTGAAAGACTATGCAATTATCTTTACCCATCTAAACTCTGTGAAAGACAGTGCAATTATTTTTACCCATCTAAACTCTGTGAAAGACTATGTAATTATCTTTACCCATCTAAACTCTGTGAAAGACAGTGCAATTATCTTTACCCATCTAAACTCTGTGAAAGACTATGCAATTATCTTTACCCATCTAAACTCTGTGAAAGACAGTGCAATTATCTTTACCCATCTAAACTCTGTGAAAGACAGTGCAATTATCTTTACCCATCTAAACTCTGTGAAAGACTATGCAATTATCTTTACCCATCTTAACTTTGTAAAAGACTATGCTTATTATGAATATCCGAATAACGCAGTTTGACCGATAATATGTTTTAAGCCGTACAGACTAAATACCCTCTATATGCAGTTTCCTTTGCCGAGGGTTTATTTTCTATTGAGTGTTTTATTACTAAGACATATAGCATTTTTGATGGATAACCTTTGGACGTAAAAAGCAGAACCTAGAGGGAAAATACGTAATTTATTATCTATCGTAATGTAAGACTGGAGGGAAAGGACGTAATTTATTATTTATCGTAATGTAAGACTAGAGGGAAAATACGTAATTTATTATTTATCGTAATGTAAGACTAGAGGGAAAATACTTAATTTATTATTTATCGTAATGTAAGACTAGAGGGAAAATACGTAATTTATAATTTATCGTAATGTAAGACTGGAGGGAAAGGACGTAATTTATTATTTATTGTAATGTAAGACTAGAGGGAAAATACGTAATTTATTATTTATCGTAATGTAAGACTAGAGGGAAAATACGTAATTTATAATTTATCGTAATGTAAGACTAGAGGGAAAGGACGTAATTTATTATTTATCGTAATGTAAGAATAGAAGGAAAGGACGTAATTTATAATATGAGGCATGACTAAGAGAATGTCGAAAACTTGAGCAATCGGCTAAATTCGCGTTTATAAGATTTTTTTATCATCACATCTCTTAATTTCAAAGCAAACTTTTGCAATTTCATCTACTTTTTACCATAATTCACAAAATGTCACATTATGAGAAGTTTATTTTTTATGCCTATTAAACACATACGGTAAATAGAGCGCGTTTGTTAATAGACTTATCGACCACTATTTTTTTTTAAGGTTAAGTTTTAACTTGAGTCTGCGTACTGAATTTATTTTGGAAAACCCATTTTTATATCATTTTGTAATTTCAAACGAAGGCAAACAGAGATCTAATGAAAAGCATGAACAGTTACGACACGGAAAATATCCAAACAATAATACTTTATTTGTCTATGATTTTTGTCACGATATCTTGTCGTCCTTTTCAGTTCAAAATTCAATAAATAATAGGTGTTTTATCTTCCTATGCAATAAGAATATGTTGTCATTAAAAAACGAATAAAATTAACCTTGCTATATTTGTCCAATCATTAAAAATGTATAAACTATTTGTAACTGTAATACTGTTATGAAACAGATGTTATCAGCAACTGTATTGTAAGAAGATGCAACAGATACAATTCAAACAACAGCTTGTATTAGATCACATATGTATATATATATATATATATATATGACAAAGAAAATGACTTTATTAGGAAGTTCTTAGTACAGCTTCAACAAAAAAAAGCCAACGATATTATAAAATATGAGGCTCACACTTATTCATAAAATATAGATTCAACAACTTAAACAAATATCAACAGACTATTTAAGAGTAAAATGTTAAAAGCTAATATGCGGGTTTAAGTTTATTTCGTGTGGGGGGATCACTGTAGTTACGATAGTCTTTCAAGATGTGAAATGGAAATTGTGTTTAAAGTTTGAGAGATAAAAAATTTTGAAAATTGCGAAAATTCTCCTTTGGTCTCACAAATGTTTTAGGACATCACATGGATGAACAAAACCTAGACTTAAAAACAAAACAATGTAACACAAAAAAAAAGATTAGGTTTGTCGTAACAGGATATTTGCTGCGAGCTATTACTCGGAAAATGAAGACATCATTTTTCAGTATATCGGTAAACTCTGAACTTTTGAATTTATCACTGAGAGTATTTTCTTTCAAGTCGAGTGAAAAATGTCTATCAAAACCAAAAGCAAAAAAATATCTTCATTAGAAGTGCAATTTTATTATGATGGCAAGAGAACTTATCCCAAGTCTTTTGAGTTTATCCCAAGTGTTAAAATTTGTCTACACGTTTCTAATGTGCTGTTCCCTTTAATTTACATTATAATGTTTCAACAGTTCTCTACCAAATTTAAGTATCAAACGAGGTTATGTAGCTTATCATTACTGAATTTATCTTTTCCTCAAAATTCTGCTTTGTTCTTCATATTAACTAGAACATACCCCGCGTGAGGTTAAGTGAAATTATTTGCATACAAAAATAATATTAATAATTTAATTTTTTATATTCTTTCTTATCTCACATTTTGAATAGGAAATATGTTATTTTATTTCATTTTCTATTTTTTAATACGTATCCTATTATATGCTAAAACATATTTGCACGGACACTCAAACAAATAGGATTTGGTAATAAAAAGTACAAAATTGTAAATGTGAAAGCAAAGTTTCTAAATTAAGGAACCACTGCATTTAAGCTTCGTATTCAACTTAAAATGTTCGAGTTTGTGTCAAGGCATATCGATTCACTGCTACTAAATGTTATAAGCTGAAAAATATGTAAGGTTGACCTTGTTTCGTTCTAATTAGTTTTAAAGGGATAATAATTATGTATATGGATGCAAGACAAAATTTTACCCTGTTGAGTACCATTAATTTCTTCAAAATGCTGTACTGTACCTTAGAAAAATAACCTTGTTATAAAGTTTCTTAGTATAAGCTCGTTTCAAATATTGAAATTTGTGTTTTCATAGAAAACAAAATAAAAGAAATAATACATTTTACTCTGGTATAATCAGGAGCATAAAGGGGAAAATGTGTTATTTTACACAGTAGCATATGCTTAACTAGCAGGGCATATGTTTAATTATTCTTAAGAGCTTAACTTTCGAAAGATTCGGTTGTATATTTAGTTATTGAACATCTGAATGAATAAATATCAGAATTATGAATATTTTTTTTTCAGAGTTAGTTCAAGTTTAATTTATAAAATGGCATTAAATGTCTAAATATAACAAACAAATGAGAAGCTGTTGGGAGTAGAATCTTTTAAATTAACAGTTTAGCATTTCTAGGTAAATTGCAAGTTAAAAATTCTGATGCAACTACATTGATTATAAGCTCCATATCTGAGCTGTGTCTTAATTTTTTGCACTAATTCGTATTTAATAAGACTAAGCTTTATGTAAAATATTATTATATCAGGTTAGTCTTCCCAAGATTGTTGTTTTCCAAGTGTTATTGTATTCCTTAGAGCACAACTTTAATCTGAAATACACGTGTATCAAATGAAGTTTAATACACTGCACTATTGCCTTTTATAATTTAATTCAGTTCTAATTTGGTAGAAGGTACTTACTATTGAAACAAACGAAAAACGGGTTCTTGTCCTTACCCGAGTTAAAGCTCAAGGTGCAGATTTCGTATTTAATCTCGTAATTATAACTGTAGAATTCCATCGTTAAAACCTGAAGAAGTTTAACATTTTGTCAAGTGGTAAATAAATGTTTTATTTACAAACGAATAGTGGGATTGATTATGACATTATAATACCAACACGGCTGTAAGGGCGATCATGTTCAATAACGGGGTTTCATCTCACGATCCGTAAATTGCGAGTCAAGCGCTTTAACCACCAGGCTATGCTAAGCCATTGTTTATTCTAGCGCAATGCTAAAACTTGCCGCTGATCCACTGGAGGATATACTAACTGTAAACCTTCTTCTGACACAAATATATTCTTATTACTTTGTTCATACACTCAAAATCTTTATTTATTTTCATTTCGATGACAGTTATGATTGAAAGAAAGCTTGCTAAACTGTCAACCATTTCCGAAGTATGATTTTATCAAACAACTCATAGGAAGACGAAAACGTTTGATCGCCGTAAGTGATTAAAGTGACATCTAACTAACGACTTCTCAAATTAAAGTATTAGTACGTCTGATAATCATAATATCCAACGTTTCACATTCTACCGATTATATGTTCATGCTCTAATTGCAAATTTTATATATCATGTTGTGTTTTATAAGCCATATCAAATTAGTTTAAAAACTCTGTAGAAAGTCGGTTATCGATTGGCTTTTTAATTAATTATTTGGGCTAACTTTATATCAACAATTTCACACAAGAGCCCACGTATATGACAATTTCTGTATGGAGTACTTTGATAAACTAAATGCAGCTACGATAAAAACGTCTTTTTAAAGAGGGAATTTTCCTTTTTTATTCCAACAAAATGTAAGATTATTTGATAAAGCTTTTGTGGTAGATCATTAAAAGTTCGTAGTCCTAATAATCAAGGTATTTTGATTTCTTAAGCTTTTGCTTTGTTGAAATTACATTTTCTTCTAGTTAATGAATTTACATATAGTTAAGATATATTTCAACGTTTTAATTAAAACCGATTTACGAAATTATATGTAATTTATTAAAATTTGTGGTGTGTATGTTTTAAAATACTAATAAGATCGCAAATAACCAAAGCAACATCGGGAACAAATTATCATGTGCACACATAGTGGCTGAAAAAAGAAAACAGAGAAAGGACAATAAAATAATCTTGATGGTTTTCACTCTTATTACATGAATGTCGTAGAATGTCTTATTTCTTCTTTTAACTCTTACACTTTTATGTTGTAACACTGTTTCAATAAAACCCTTCTTACATTTTCTATGTTGTAACACTGTTTCAATAAAACCCTTCTTACATTTTTTATGTTGTAACACTGTTTCAATAAAACCTGTCTTACATTTTCTATGTTGTAACACTGTTTCAATAAAACCTGTCTTACATTTTTATGTTGTAACACTGTTTCTATTAATAGTTTGTGAGTTATGTAACGCTCTGAAAAGAGTGATAAAAGAAAGTAACTATATTTAAGGATTTAGCATAAGATCAAGGATTTAATGTTTCAAAACACTGAACATTTTTTTCAATCTGAATTTTTAGTATGCTAGAAAGTGTTTTAGTGAAAAACAAGTTTATTTATTGAAGAATAATTGTGTTTCGGATATATTTGTAAGTTAAGTATTATATTACGATAAATAACAAAAATTTATATACGAACATAATAAATCGTTCCCTTTTCAACCTCATCGAGTTCCTGAAAGAAAAAGTCTTAGCTGCTCACCTGGATAATAAACTACAGATCTCTCTGCTTGATACTTGGTACCCGGTATACTTAGTACACATTTAAAAACCTTGGGTTCCTTTCCTCTCAAATCCTCCATGGTAAGTTCTCTTGAAATCTCGACGTTGTAGGCACCTGTAATAGTTTGGATTTCACTGTCAAAGGAATTTGCCGCCAGTTCGCGAGGCCTTGCGGGACTTGTCACCTCATACATGGCTAAATGTGGTAACGGGAACACGCCTTCTGCCTGGCAACTCAGTCGTTCCTTCTCGCCTGATATGCACGTAGAGTTGAGAGTGAAAACAGTCGGAGGCGCTGAAAAACGGCATATTTGAAAGTGTAAACAAGACTTCTTCCATGAAGATAACATCTCTTCAAAACCGTTGAAATTGCGTGATGTAAGCAGCTATTGTAATTAGTTTAAGAGTATTGTAGCACTACCGTTGTATAAGTCAGTATTACATATTTTATAACTACGAAATAAATAATTTAATATAAATGGAATGTGAGCCGTTATTTCATATCCTATGACCCTGAAAAACGGTATGTCACATAGTTATAATGTGGAATATTCTGTAATCACGAAGATAATAAGTCATATAACTGTAAAATTACTGCACCCAAAGAGAGTGTGCACATTTTACATAACCATGAAAATGATAAGTCTTACCATTAATATAACTGTAAAATTACTGCACCCAAAGAGAGTGTGTACATTTTACATAACCATGAAAATGATAAGTCTTACCATTAATATAACTGTAAAATTACTGCACCCAAAGAGAGTGTGTACATTTTACATAACCATGAAAATGATGTCTTACCGTTAATACTGTTATTGCACATGCTTCAATCATGAACGTGAAAATCGGCTCGATAATAATATCATAATGCAAGTCGTTACTGAACATACAGTGATCCAACATTACTATTAGAACGCAAGACGCCATTGTACGTGTTGTAACCATGTATGTAATACGTTGTCATATGTTGCTGTAAAATTTAAACTAGGAGATATATATATTAGATATGAAATACTTGCAAACAAAGTCTGGTGTTTGAGTGGCTACAGGGATGGCGATAAGGAGGCTTGTTGGGACTGAAGCTATTCCAAAATGTTCCTTAGCCTCCTCGCCCTGCAGCCCTCGCACTCAACGAAAAATGCTTACTGTTAAAGTCGAATCACTTTCTAAATACTACAGTATGTGTGCTCACAAGATGTAGAGTACAGTTCCCTTAAAGGTTTTGTTGAGCAAACCTCAGCCCCCACACCGGAAAGGCTCTGGCGCCGCCCCTGAATGGCTACGACACAAGTTCAAGCTAATGACTACGCAAAACAGAAGACAAATATGGAGTCTGATGATATCTTTGTGTTAAATTTTTCCTAATCTGCATTCACATAATAAGATGTGACTTTGCGACACAAAAATGTGTTTAAATAAAGAAAAATTTTGAATTGCAATCCACACATTATTTGTGCTGTTAGGAAAAAAACAAAAAACTTTTGTGTTTATATCGGCATAACAGTAAACTGTGTATTTGGAAACACAACTTGTGTTGTGGTGAAATAACACAGTGTTTGCATTAATTTATAACACAACCTTTTTACAGCGTGAGCCAATATCAGATACGAAAATAATGGCATATTAGAACTACATCTAATAAACATCTACATAGCCATACCGTTAAAACAATGTGAGTATTTATTCAGCCATAATCGTGAAATGAAACATGTATTTTCGTCACAAAAGAGAAAGTAAGCTACTATCTGAACTTAACTGTGAAGTTGTTTTAAATAGCTATTAAATTGTAGCCATAGAAATAATTATCATAGTGTTACTTGCAATCAAAGAACTCGTACAAGTATGTGATCGTTCGAAGTGTACTTGATTTTATACCAAAATTATTCAAAGTTAGATTAAAGAGAAGTCTGAATTATTCTGTGTTTCATAGCTGTATTATGTACAGAAATGTGTAACCTTCAAGATGGATAGCACGAGAGTGTGTGTTTTGCCAAAAATTAGAGTTTTAATGAAAATTAACACGTTATTATACCTTTAAAAATCGAATTATCCCAACAGACAACTTTAATTTCTCTGACAACATACACGAGATTTTACCTTTTATATAAAATACACAGCTTTAATTTCTCTTACAATTTATACCCGCTGTGAGTTATTGTATAACGTCTTTTGAGGAAAAAAAAAACCCTCTAAAAATAAAAGATTTTACAATGTGATTCTTTAGAAAATCCTGAACCGTTCTTTCCGTGTATTTTCACGTACATTTTGTAAAAAAAAACGTCAACTAAAATACATACATGGTCGTTACGTATCACTGAAGAAAAATATCATTCATTTGTTTTTTGTGTCATCTATAGTCTGGCTGAAAGTTAAGTTATTTGCTAACATAGTGACGGCTTGTCCTTGTTAAAGTAAGTGATCTTAGTCCATTCAACATCATACGTCTCCTTATTAGTCCATTCAACATCATACATCTCCTTATTAGTTCATTTAACATCATACGTCTCCTTATTAGTCCATTTAACATCATACGCCTCCTTATTAGTCCATTTAACATCATACGTCTCCTTATTAGTCCATTTAACATCATACGTCTCCTTATTAGTCCATTTAACATCATACGTCTCCTTATTTGCTGTTTCATTACCTTTATAATAGAGCGAAAACTCGAAAAGTGAAGAATTTGTAATGAAGGAAGAATTATTTGCATGTGATGGTCTTTTTGCGATTCAGGTAAAATTTCAAATATTCTTAAAACCACGACAGAAGTCTCTCAATGTCTGTTAATTAAAGTGTCTTTATAATGATGACTCTTACCTCAAATCTTCACCTACAGTATGATTCATGTTTATTTATTAGTTTTAGAGTACTGCTATATACCCTTGTATCCTTTTTGTTACTTTCCTGAAGCTCTCAAAATCGATTGGCGGTAAATGTTCCGCATAGATATTAAAATTTAATGCAAGGGAATTAAAGCGCTACGGTTAGTGGAATCGATTTGCAATCCATCATATTGAACGTAGAAAGAACAAATGTTAATCAAACGAGAAGTGTATTAAGTAATGCGCATACCAGAAGCAACTTTTCTGGTTTTACTACAGGAATAAAAGCATTTCATACAACTGTATGATACACCGAGTCAAATCGGGCAGCATATTAGTATAACACTTTATGACAATATGGGACCTGAGAAATCTCTCCTAAGGATAAATTTTAGATCCAATTCAGTTATATGTGTTTGTATATAGTAGTCTCGTACCTATTGACTTGATCTTCTAAATGTTACGTCAGTGTAAACATAATTTAAAGAAATATGAAGCAATAGTTTTATACATTTTTATTACGCCATTTCTTAGTGTGTTCTGTAATGTAATATTTGGTAAAATATTATCTTTATTTATTTTGAGATACCCGTCATTAAAATATTGTTAAAAATAAACTGTAATGTAATACTTGTAAGAGACGATCTGTTATTTATTTGCATACATTTTTCATTATATTAATTTGGTATGTGCGATATTTGTTATATGTTCAGTATTCTAGTTTGATAAATTTATCATCACCGTGTGTTTCGTAATACAGTATTTGTTACGGCAAGATCTGTATTTTATTTTGATACACGTGTAATGACAATATTATTAGTATGTGCTATAATGTAATATTTGTTACGGCAAGATCTGTATTTTATTTTGATACACGTGTAATGACAATATTATTAGTATGTGCTATAATGTAATATTTGTTACGAGATGTCTTGTTTTATTTTCATAAACCTGACATCAAAATATAGTTAGTTTGTGCTGTAAAACAATATTGTTACAAAATAGTTGACATGTATTGTAATGCAGTCTTTGTTACAATATGGTGTGCGTTTCATTGTAATAAATATTTCATTACTAATATCATCTGTTGTAATGTGTTACAACTGGTTTTAATTCTCTTGCGAGATATCTGTAAAAGAAATAATTGTGTAATTAAATGAGCGTTAAAGAACGGTTACAATAACAGGGACAAAACGCAGTGGTTTGTGAAATTTTTCTTTTTTTTTTAGCAGAATCTAGGTTTATATTGAACTTTGAAACATGATCCAACCAGTTTGATAGAATTCTGAATGTGCTTTCTTATCTACTTTAAATTTATGTTCTTTCCGGTGACATATCGTTGACTCTCTTTAAAAACGTCTCAGAAAAATGTATGAGATTCATAAACTAGGCAATGATTATATCTTCGAAACGTGATAGTATGTATACTCCTATGCTAACGAGGTGTCTTCTTAAGCGCATATAACTTATGAATAATTGAACCTTATTATGAAATCGACAGCATTTTAAAGCCCGATGAATAAAAATCTATATATATATATTAAAATATTTTCAGAAAAATCCGAATACTTTGGTTCCTGTTTCAAAAGAATTTGTTGTAAAACATGATTAAAAATATAAATATATAAAACTCTCTCTGTTAACACTATATCAAAAGTGTTGAAAACTAAAAATTACAATACGTCATTTAACTGTATATGATCACGATTCGCAACAACAACATTTGGGACGTAATAGGTCACATTATACGTTTCCAAGAGCCTTGTAGTATTAGTGACGTATATTCTTTTTTTTTATATTTATTACCGAAGAATTAGTTTAAAAAATAATTGATCACTAATTAAGAGGTTTAATCGTCTGTTGTATATAATAAGAAAGGTTCCCTCGTTTATTTTTAAACCTACAATAGTACTTGTCGTAGAAGCAAACAATTATTTCAGCAGTCATTAAAATAAACATCTAATATGAACCATCCATAACATTATAACTTACAGATATTTTACAATAAAAATGAAATCCTTGAAAACAAAAAATATATAATTATTGTATAATTAATGAAATTAGTGAACATATCCATCTCGGATCATGGAACAAGTAAATCAATTGTTGAATGAAGTCGTATAAGTAATAATGCAATGGTGTTTATAGCAATGTTATTTATATCATAGTACCATCTTTGCTTGTGACTACTCCTGAATAATAGGACACTCAGTTGAGGCAACCTTTATTACAGTGACTCTAGCTCCTCCTTTCACCACTATTTGGTATTACCAGAGTGCCAAAAAACTAAATGCTTAAAAATGACTCTATTCAAGCCTAAATTTTAGCAGATTCGATAATATATGTAAGCATATATATTTTCATTTTTTATCTATCTACAAAGCTTCGTAGTAGTATGTAGATTAGGTTTTTATTAGCCCTTTCTGGTAAACAGCAGACTCTAATTTTTATATAGAAAATTGAAGTTTGAATGAGAGTATCGTGAGCTCCAAACGTTAATGTGTATGTATGTTTTCTTATGTATGTTTCCAAGCCTCATCAGGCTATTTGTCATGTCCACCGAGTGGAATCGAACCATTGATTTTAGCGTTGATAAATCCGAAGACTTACCGCTGTCCCACCGGGGGACTCGAACGTTAATGCATTTATGATGTGTAATATTTATAAGTTATAAGGTTATTTTGTGTTGTACTTACGAGTTAGTTTCTAAATTCTGCAAATTGCAGACAATGTTTCAAGTAAATAACAGTTTTAATGATAAAACATATAGGTGTTTTTATTATTAAATAATGCTTTTTTCTCGAATTTACTTTTTATAAGTGTGTGTATGTATATGCGACCTTTTTTAGCATCATTCACTTGGACTAAAAGATATGATGTGACCAACTGAAGTTGACCTTGTAGAATGGCACTTGAAAAATGTTTTGATGTATTTAACCAGATGATGATGAGTTAGGAACGTTGCTTAATGTATAATGGACTTAAACAATTTTAGAGTTCCTACTTTTATCTTCTTATAGACATCAAATAATATGTCCCCTTCAGTAAGTTTCACGATTACGTCTGTACGTATATGATCTTGATAGTTAATTAAGGAATAAAAAAAATTCTTGCAAAAGTCAAGACATAAAAAAAAGACTGTTTTTGCTCATTATTCATATTGTGCTGATTACGTTTTTGGCTCTAATCTATAAAGTTTCTAATAAGTCCTACACTTCTTGTTTTATTATGAAGTTACTTACAATAAACAATCATCAGCTTTTCTTTGGAATCACTGCCCGACAGGGATCCGACTGTGCACGTGTATAGACCACTCAGATCTATAGTAGGTCTAAGGATCTTTATAGCACGATACTTGGTATAATCGTCGGACGGAGACACTGTATACTTCATGTTAACCCTTCCTTCTAAGCGGTAAGAAAAGTGTCTAGAGTTCAGTTCAGGAATCCATTGGTAAATTGGCTCCGGGTCGTTATTCAAGAACCATTTAACAACCATCGATTTATCTTTTTCAGTGAGGTTGTATTCGCAATCTAAAACCACCGACTCTTGACTTCCGCTTTGAATGCAAGGGGGGACAGACAGTCGTGTAATCTGAAGAGCTGCTAACCCTGTAGAAAATACACATAAAAACGGAACTACGTTTTCTTTTTGAAACTTGACTATGTCAGCACTTACACTTCTTATTTATAAGCATCTGACTCGTTTGCATTTATAGAGTGATGGTACATATATAAAAATAAAAAATTATTTATTTAAAGAACATTTTTTTATATTTCTTTACATACTGTAAACAGGAATTTTTAATTATTAAATAGAATATAGTTAACGTGCAGATAATATACAAAACTGACAAACATTGTCTTTAACTATTTATGCACAACCCGTTTCATTAATTGACGATTAATTTGTAAAACAACTGATATTGACACTTTTTGAATATATAAGGGACAATGTAAAAATATTATATTACTAAATTAAACACACATATTTGTTTTATATTTCATTTCAAAAAACAAAACGCGCACATAAAAACGTCTTTCCTTTACATAATGTATTTATTTATTTTAATTACCTTTAAAATAAAACCTGAAAAAAAATTATAGAAAACACTTTCCTTGAAGAAAATTGTTGAGAAAAATATAAACTTTTATAAAAGGTTAAAATGCATTTATGTTGAAAACCGAGTGCTGAGCGCAGGCCAGGGTTAGCGTGTTGAACGGTGGAACTGAGGTTTCCGTGGTTCGCGTCCCGTTACCACCTCGTCCCTCAAAATAACATCCCAAACTGTACACTGAGGACATAGTGCATTATAAGAGTAATGGTTAAATCCCCCTATTCCTTCTGACGAGAGTATCTACAAGATATGGGGTAGGTGGTGTTGTTTAATGGGCTTCCGTATATTCCATCATTTAAACAATATGGACGACTAGCGCATACAGCCCTCGTGTAGCTTTGTGTGAAATCCAACAAAAAAAACGTTTGAACTTTATATGAAATCAATTATTATTCAAAATTTCATAAACACTTCGATGTGTTAGATACTTACTTAAACAACAAATTATAAAGGTCACTTCCAGTTTTATCGTTCTGTAGAAGAATGTTGTAAAATATTATTTTACTTCGTGTACTGGGAGCAGTTTTTATCTAGAAAGTTTGTTTGTTTGTAACTAAGCACAAAGCTACACAATGGGCTATCTGTGCTCTGCCCACCACGGTATCGAAACCCGGTTTCTTACGTTGTAAGTCTACAGACATGCCGCTGTGACACTGGAAGCGTTTTTATTTAGAAGTGACATTTAAGTATTTTATCATGTTGTCTGTTTGATTGTTATGGATTTCGCGCAAAGCTACACGAGAGCTATCT